ACTACTACTGCGACAACTACTACTACGTCACTACTACTACAGCACAAGAGCTGCTTAAGAATCTCCGCGAGCTAGGTCAGGGGGGCTCAGTTTCTTATCTCTGCAGGTTGTTGACAGGATCGCAATTTTGCTACCATGCAGGAGGAGGCTCAGATTCTTAGCACATTCTTACTGGTGGCCAGGATTTGAACCAGGGACCGGACCTGCTTGTGTGAAGCCCATACTAGCAAAGAATCTGACGGTTCAGATGTTTAAAAGTTAAGAATTTGGCGGGCTGAAATACTACAAGGTGCACCGAACTTCAGTCCCTGGAATTCTTAAGCCTGAACTTCTCAAGCAATGATTTCTTCAGCAATACTTCCGCTGCACGTCACTACTCCTCCTAGTACTTCTACGACGACGACTCCTGCTGCTGCTGGTCAATGCCCACATGCTAGTTGCAGGTCAATGCTTGTCACCTCTGTGTCTTCGTTCAATGCTTCGCTGTTCCTCTCACTGTCCTTCTGGCGGTTGGGCTTACGGAGCTGTCCCAAGAAAGGCAGCCCGGCGGCCAGCAGCGTTCATTTAGCTTCGGATTTCGCGTCTGAGTTGCTTCAGGTGCCGTGGTGTGCGAGCATCTAGGCACCTGAAATCGAACTGCGAAGTTTAAGATGACACGGAAATCAGGCAGAGTCTGCAAATTCGGATAAGCTCTGAGGCCGAAGCCACCTGAAGTTCCGACTTCTGGGACTGCACTGGCAAGGAATACCTTGTGTTAAGCATGTTGCACGTCTTCCCTTCGATGGCGTTCGATTTTGTCTGGAAAGGAAATAGGACCGAAATACAAAGCATGATCGTCAACATCGAGGAATTGGACTACATGGGTTCTGCGCCCGCAGTTCAAAAGGCTGCTGGAATCTGCAGCAAGATAGAGAAATATCGACATGAATTCAGCTTTGCACACGGCAACGCTTACTGCCGAAGGCCACTCAAGACCAGGCACTCAGTAGCCATGGTAAAATGCAGTATCGGGTCTAACCACCCGTCATGTGCACACTTTCAGCTTGGAGACCATGACACCGCGAGACCCGAGATACCGAATCACCGAAATATCCTGACGCTAACAGCTAGACAGGCTAGATACCATGTCACAAGGATGTCGAGGCAGCTTGGCACCGTCATCCACCCCTCCTGGGATTTCCCCGTGCATGCAGAAGCGCGCCCGAGCTCCTAACTCGCTGCCACCAGGGCACAGCGGGCACGGGAACCTCCCAAAACCATAGGCCTGCGCAATGTTGTCGCCCAACAAGCTGAACGCTCATTGTGCACTCAACTCCCCTCTCGGGCGCTGTAGGCAACACACGGCTCTGCTGAACCCTTGCTGACAGTGTCGAGACGGGTCCCCAACTGTTGGTATGTCGGCATCCCAATGTCCGTAAATCGTTTGTCCCACTGCCGCAACGCGTCGAAGGAAGGAGGGAAGAAAACTAAGAAAAGCGAGATCACGCCATGACGACTTGGCACCGGGCAGAGACACAGGCACGTCAAGAAACCAGGACAGAACAAGCCGACAAGAGGGACATGTGAGACCTGGAACCTCGGACCTAGCACACATCGACCTAGCACACCGGGCCGAGACACCAGAAGCACCTATTTTGGACCCCAAGACATTGAAACACGTGCACACCAAGAGCCAGAGACTCAGAGTCACCGGGACACAAGATAGCTTGGACACCGGCATGAGACGACATCCGAGACACGTGGACCCCACTTTAATACCAAAGTGTACCCGACCAGTACAGTGTACCAAGAATGAGCCGTTAGTCAGTTGTACTCGACCCCAATAAGCCGCTGCTTGGGCAGAAGCATGCGCGTTCAGAGTTTGCTGTGGGCCTTCACGAACATCTAGTCTTGCAGGGGCTGGGCCCAGTCAACACGATTTTTGCAAAGAGGCTCCGATCTGGATGGAGCATCGCAGCAGGCACGGTCTGAAGACGCCTTGTTTATTACACCCTTCGGTCGTCCGATTGTGTCCACGTAGCACATCCATGATGTGATTGGGTACAGCGTGGAACGAGACAACCGGATCAAACCGATGAAGCGATGAAGCACACGAACGAGTTCCAAGGGTCAGAACATGTCAGAACAGCTTGATTCGTTGGCCCAGTTCTGCCAGTTTTTAAATACGTAAGCCAGAACCGTTTGTAAAATTTTGAAACAGATCTTCACGTCTTCCCACGGATGCCGACCAAACAACCGAGCTGCACGCAATATGTGTAGAGCAGATGAGAACCGACCCCTAAAGCTAGCATCAGGACCCGCCGTGGTAAAGGTTCCAAGCGTGCCTCTGCGTCAGGAAACGTTCACATGGTTCCCGATGGATGAAAAGCAACACTGCAAGAGGGATACAAGGCAACCTGACAGCGGCGGTACGCACGACGCAGATTCTGGATACGAGAAAGGGCACCAGCAATCTCGAAGACTTCCAAGAAAGAAGACAAACTAAATTCGCCACGACATGACAGGAGCTTCGATCCCAACCAGCGACAGGGACAAAAGACGAGGCACGAAAAGCGCAATGGCAGAACAGCGCACGCAATTCTGTAACTGGCCGCCTCAGCAGATCCAGTTCCCAGCTCACATGGCTGGTGTTTTCTATCAACTGCCAGGAGGTGCTTCTGGTTGTACATTCGGATCACGACATGATGTTCCAAGACCGCATCAAAAAGCATCCCCTGCGACCTTCAGGCCCACCAATGCCGACACCGGTGATCATCGCAGAAGTTAGACTAGGCGATGTTTGAAGGGAGGCACGGCAGGAAACGGAGAGGATGCAGAGAAATGTCGGGAGACGGCGGGCACCTTTCGAGTCTGAACAGGTAATGAAAGCCAGGAGGCAGACGAGGGCATTGAAGGGACAGTGCAGCGAAGGGAGAGCATGGCTGTGCTGGACGCCAGTTTCCCCATGTAAACATAAAAGCCTATGCCTGCTTACTTGCAGAACCCCAGGACCCTTACTAGAAAGTTGTTTAGGGCAATACATTGAACATTGATCAGCTTCTACTGCCGTAAAGCCTTGCTAAGCATTTGCTGAACATGTGGCGAACCTCGCAATACTATGCAAAGCTGCCGAGGCATACAGCCCTCTGGATATTCAGCGTAGTTTGGTGGTGCCTTGGGACTGTCGCTTCTTGGACAGCAGTTGAATGTGGAAACTCAACCTGTTGGTCTCGTTTGGGGCTGATTTGTTGCGAGGGTTGACCGGCTTGGTCTTATCCTTGCTAATTTTGAAAGTAAGACGCCGTTCGAATCCAAGCCCTTCTCCTGGCCACGTTAGAGAAGTATGCAGAAGCTCCCAAGTTCTGATAGCTAGCCACCATGGTTTGTTCGCATGTTCGTGGAGCTTTGATCCAAGATCCACACGTTTGACACTAAACCCAATAGTAAAACTTCATCCACCACCAAACCCTTAAGTGCTTGGCCCCTTTGACTAAGCGAGCAGGAATCCTCGCCAAGACAAGTGGAAGCCCACTTGTTCCACACCAAGATTTTCTGAGGCTCTCTGCACGATGTTTACGTGCTGCAGCGACAATGTGAGCAATTCTGCGGGCCTCGAGGTGACAGGAGTTGGGTTTCTCGCCTCTGGGCTTACAGTCCGTTCTTCGCAATACAGGTTGTCCGATTGTCCGGGCGGGGTCCAGCTTAGGGAAGTAGCGATTCACAGTTCTTGTTGTTCTTTGGGTCGGAGACATTCTGTGACCCATGCGCATTTGGAGAGTTGTCGAATAATTCGTCCACGAGATGGACAACAGAGAAGAAGACAAGAACAGATGAAATCAAGGGAACCATTGGCAGAAAATGCCACCATGTGTCCCAGCCTCTGCTGACGTTGGCATCCCATCACTTCTTCCAGGCATGACACATTCACCAATGCTGATGCGGATGCTGCTCTGTTGCTTCTACTGTAAAATGAGTGAATACTTGTGACTTCTTTTGCCTGCTTGTGGTTCCTCGTGCCCCTGCACTTCGTGCCGCGCTGTGATGATGAGAAATTTGACGCAGCTGTCAGCAAGTATGGAAGATAGGGCAGTGTCGATACCAGAGGTACGTCCGGATACTCTCGAGTCAGCCCAGGTCGCCTGCTGCATGGCTGAGACGAAGCTGAAGGATGCTTTGGAGTTCCGCGGTGAGCACGCGTACAGCGAACTGTTGCGAATCACGCAAGAGACTCGCCTGATTTTCGGTGCGCGGTTCTGGGAGTTCGCTAGGTCGGGGATGGGCTTTGGAAGGACAGAATATGAAAGCAGGGACCAAGGAGCACAGGCACAAGTAAAAGAAACCAAAAAAACACAACAGGTGAGACGTACAAGAAGTAGCTTGAGAATGCAAAGATGGACTTGCTTTGCAAGTCTTGTTGGATTATCTGTTTGAAGCTGCTGCGTGCATGTTGAACGCGGCAATGCATCATGCGGAGCTTCAGTCCAATCAGCCCCGAAGGCCATGAGCCGTGCGTAGAGACCGGTCTGGAACCAAGGACAGCCAGCCATATCCAGATGCACAGCAACCCATAGCCAGCACGCCTGTGCAAAAGTCCACTGAATTCAGTCCCGAACCGACATGACTGACATGACTCGCTTCAGGATGTTCCTGGAATCATCATCAGTTCTGTTCACATCCACCTGCTGGATGTCAGCTGGTATGCTGTTCTGACCGCCTGGCTGCATTGGCTGTACTTTGCAGATGGAGAACATTAACAAACCCAAGTCCGATTGCAGCTCTTATGGGCCCCATCCGGCTTTCTGTGCTTGTTGAGGCTTCGGGCGAGTAGCTCTTCTTTCTGCACACCGAAACCATTACCGTCCAGCTCCAAGCCCACGACTTGCTTGCAGGCCCCTCAAAACCCCAAGCCTTGATCCCTCGAGAACGCTGAAGAGCCAGGCAAGGAATGAGCATCGGGAAATCTTGGTCATCCCTAGCACTCTGACACTTAAGCCTCGTCTGTTGCTTTGTGAAGCAAGGAATCTCAGCACGAGCTTCTGCACATTAGCACTCTACCTCTACCTGCTTGTCGAGAAGCGCCTGGGTTGCATGCTTGTTGACTCTGAAGCTGTTGAGGCCCGGGTCTTTGGGGCCACACGTAATGCAGCGTGTGTCTCAGTCAACTGCACGAGCATGCAAGAACTATGATATTCAAGAGCCCCGGGCTGGGAGTTCGAATCTGTTGCAGGAACTGACCTTATCAGCCTTATCAACTTCAGGGCTCAGCCAGAAGGGCCCTCTGCGTTAAAGAAGATATTCTTGCTTGGTCAGCGACAGGAATTCCTCGCATGTACTGCCCCACAGTTGCAAGCCGATGCGAAGGTGCGTGCCACCCCCAGCCGGAAGCAAGAAAGTAGTCATCTGCGGAGCTGTCCTGCCGTCCTGAGCTGCGTTGCAGCGTCGTGGTTGACATGAACGGTTTCAGTCTTGGCATGATAGGTTGTGGTGTCAGGGCATTAGTGACATCGTGCTTCTCGATCCCTTCAGCCCGAACGGGGCTGCAAAGTTTCGGCCCAAGAGGGGCTGTGGAGGAAGACGGTGGCTGGTAAAAGATCGTGCCAAGCCACGCGAACGTGACGTATCTAGGCACAGAGTCTTTGGAATCTGAGGAGAACGGTGAAGCCAAATGCTGTAGACTAGCTTTTCGCATGGAGTTCCAACCATCACAGCCCCAAACGTGCGATGCACAAGCAGCAAAGTGCAAACTGCGCCATCGCCATCTTCAGAGTGGTCGTCAACTCCATGACTATCAGATGCTGCTCTGGCAGCTAGAAACACCAGAACATCCGGCTCCGAAGCTTTACTTTAAGGCCCGTGAGATTTCGGGATTCAGGGGTGGACAATGTTGATTGAGGGTTGCTGGCCTCTGTGGCATCGGACTTCTCGACCTAGCTTACAATAGATATTGAGGTTTGAAATTGGCTTGGGGGTAAGAAGAAGATTACCTTTCGAGCATACATTCTGGATGATCCTGCCCATACTGCGGTAGGACGAAAGTTTGGCCTACTCCTTGTTTCCTTGAACACAGACCCTGCTCCTCCATAGAATCATAGCAAAAGAGGACCAGCCGGGTACTCCACATCAAAGTACGCAGTAATCTTAAACGGCATGTAAAATACTCCGATGGCCAGGCTACACAAATCGCACTTTTCGGTTCTCCGCCACTCCACAATATGTCTTAAGACAAGAAAGGTCCAGTAGGTTAAAACCATTGTCCTGGCGATGCAAGCCCACAGGCATGGCACAACTTGCAAAGCCATGCGATGCGCCGATTGCTCAAGCATCACGTCCGTCCATCGTTCAGCTACTGCACAAGAGAGGTATAATGCACAACATGGATGCAATCGCAGGAGCTTGGTCAACGCTTCAGTTGCAAAATCCTCCGCCATGTCCACACACGGCGAAGAGCAATGTCTCTTGCCCGACGAGGTCTTGCTGTTGAACCAGCCCTTATTACTCAATCCTGACTTTACATGATCTGGAACACTTCAAAACCCGAAAGATGTTGCTGAGAGGTCCCAGTGACCACGGACACCAAATCGAAAAGCCGAGAAAGCATTTCACAAAGTATAGACAAAGTTGTAGTCCGTGATGCACGTTTCTCTGTTCTAGCCTTTGAGAGTTTAGGGTGTGGAGTTGAGGGTTTTTGAGGCTGGAGTGAGAGGGTTTAGAACCCCTCAAGCCGATCTCGTCGGTTCGATGACAGGGCGGGTTGCTTGACGGTTGGGGTGCTTTTCAAGATGCCTCGTGTTTGTCATAGGGATCCTGAAACTGGCAATATTTTCGAAGAGCAGCAACACACCCTGGAAGGAAGCTCGTACGTTCAAGCTGGAAGGATAGAGTTGGTATTGCGGTGACCTGGAGAGCCACCGACGAAGCATTGCCATCAACCCCAAACTGAAAAAGCCTCGACCTGTCTCTTGGTCGCCCCTCGCATTTACGAGACAGACCCCGAACCCCACACCGAAAGACCGAATCTCAATAGATCTCAATAATATTTAGTTCCTTTGGGCTGACGGTTCTATGGCTTTGGGCCTCGAGTTTGAAGCCTGCTACGGAAGCCCAGCTGCTGAAGAACCTAGGTAGATCAGCCCTCCGGACCTCGCCCGACAAAGACAAGCGCAAACTCAAAGTGTTGGAAGGAAGCCAACATCCTGGACCATCCCCGTATATCCCCGTACTGAACTGTCACCGTAGCTCGAAGGCTCCCACACGATATAAACGTTTGTTTTGAAGGTTGAGATGTATGAAAAGGCCTTAAAGTTACAACACGAATCCCTGGTGCACCACGGCCACAATGGCAAGCCGAGCCCCTGGTTGCTGGCTTTGCTTGTGCCGTTTTTGTTGCGGCTCGATAGCATGCACGGCAATAAGACTCATGAACTGGAAACAATAACAACGGAGTGACAGCAGGAGTGAGTACGTCTGAGCAGGTGAGGGCATCGGAAGTTTGGGGTTAGTTGGCATTCCGTTGTGTGTTTTGGTGTTAAATACTTACAGCGATCCCGATGCCACCTGTGTTTTGATTGCAGAGTCTATTTTGAGTGAAGTAATGACGTTTAGTGGAAACGTACCACTGAGTTTGAAAACCTATGTTGTCGTAACAGTCTGCGGCGTTGACAACCGAGGTTTCGATTAGTTAGGAAGGTGGTGTTCGTGTCGGAAAAAATCGACCCACAATCCGTGCTGTTGACCTGGCTGTCGGTTTCGAGTTCAGGATCGAGGGTTAGGGAGTCAGATCTTGGTTTGATGGTGTGGGGCAGTCGGATCTGGGAGATCAGGATTATGGAATATGGTGATCTAGGCTGGTCTATTGCAGGCGTCCCTTCGCCAGATGGCGACTGTGCAACAATTGAGCGGCATGGACCTAAGACTGGGGACTACAGCGACTACGGTGTTTTGAGTTTCGGGCCTCTGTATGATTGAAGGCTCAGAGTAGTGGATTCTGGGGTTAGGGTTCACGCAGGATTTTCGTGACAGGTATTTGGTTCCTGAAAGGTCCAGGGCGAAAAGGTTCTGGGTTTCGAGACTTACGGTTTAAAGGCTGACGGTGAGGCTAACAAAAGATCCAGACATGACTGGGGTTTGGGGTTCTGGTTTTATTATGATGATGATGATGATTACTATTGTTATTATTATTATTATGATTGCTATTATTAGTCTGCCCACGGGCGGGCAGCGCAGGTAGAAGCCTCTCCCTCCGCAACCCACTCAAACTTGGCAAAACTTTGCCTCGCTCTGCAGGGCCGGTTGCAGGCGCGCCGAGTGCTCATGATGCTCGCCGGCTGGCCTTCTGGGGTCGTCCACAGGGGCCCCGAAACCCGCCATAGCCTGGGGAATGGCTGCAAAACGCGTGCGTTGCGAAAGGCCGCCGGGCGAGGTCCCGTGCCGGTCGCGCCGTTTGCTGAAGCAAAGCTTGCAAGCCACACCTCAGCTAAGCCTCGAACTCACGGGACGCATGCGCTCGGGGACCGAGCGCTGCCCGATTTAATGGCTGCCGCCAATGCCGCCGTTCCCGAGGAAGGCTTTGTGCGCGCGATCTTCAAAGCGAGTTCTTTCGTTGCGCGCGTATTTAATGACTTAATGAATTCCAGCTCAATGCACGATATAGTCCGTTTCTTGCGGCTTGGGGCAGTGGGGACTTGGGTGCAGATGTTCCGAAATTAGGTAGGGG